GGGTACAGCAGTAACGAAAGACCCAAGTCCTTATTCTGAAGCTTCGCTGCTGGGCCCAACTGCAGACACTTCAGCAGATATGCACTGCAGTTTCAAGGTTGACATCACAGGTGACGGGGCAGTGTGCGTTGGAGGATGTGGCTGTTTGTTAGGGTGGGTCAGGGAGTGCCTCCTCCATCAGACTTCAGCTCCATGTAGACATTGAACGTGCACTTCACATGCTCATGGAGAATGGGTGTTTGAACCCCTTGTGAGAGGAACGCCATGCAGATCCGGGAGGATGTTGAGTGTGCTGTCGTGCCTGCTGAGGAAGTGTCACCACCCCGGGGCAGGTGAATCTGAGCAGATGACAGCAGTGAGAAGGGCAGTAGGAAGAGGGACAGCCTCCTGCAGAAAGCATACCTAGGTCTCAGCAGGCGTTGTTTGTAGCGCTTGGACTTGGTAGTCCTCAGTGTCCAGCTCTCCCAGGAGACAGGGCAGTGGAGCCGCAGATGTGCACTCAGCGAAGTGTCTGGTGGGAGCCGGTGGTGGGAGTGGAGATGTTTAGGCTGTGTTTTGGATGTGGGGCAGACAGCATAATAACTTCAGATTGGTCACTAGGGAGGAGCGGGGCAGTGGCAGATTACTGGCCAAATTGAAGACCTTACTAGGACTTCCTGCAGGGAACCCTCAGGTGGACACCCACACTCGAAATCTGTTTCCCAATCTGACTGCAGTGACTGTTGGCAGGGGGTCCCCAGGGGCCCCAGCGGCCCCAGCTGTAGTCGTCATGCATGGTCCCCCATCAGTCTTGAGTAGATGGGTCTGGTGGGTCTGGTGGGAAAGGGTCGGAGTCAGAGCTGCACCTGACCACCAGCCTTCCCATGGGCTCTGCAGCACACACTTGCCGGCCATTACCTTGCAAGGTTCAAGCTGCAGTTCCAGCACTGTGAGGGCATTTGGGGCTGAGGTCACTGGGATGGGCTGTGGCAAAAATGAGTCATCTGGAGCCCCACATTGGCCAGTAGTGGCTATGGTTTAAAGCCATGGGATTACACTTGACCATTTAGCAGGTTGTTATAAAGGGTACAATTTGGGAACAGCCAGAGGGATGGGGTGCACAGGGTGAGCTATGGGGGAGCATGGAGCTGCCGGGGCCTCTCTGGTGCCACTCTCCTGGCCCCTCCATGTGTGTGTGTCACCAACAGGGAAGTGAGCACGGGACAGTCTCAAATTACTCATGGACCCAGCTCTAAGAACTTTTTAAAAAATCAGAAATATACCGAGGAAATCGGGTAAATGGGGAACAAATGAGGACCCTGATGAAGTAAGGTGTGTTCTTTGATGAGACTGGTGATTAAGACCTTTTACGCCTGTAACGTAAAAAGCAAAATAAACCAGATTAGACATAGGAAGTGAGTGGAAACACTGCAGGAGGAGGAAGCAGCTCATCCAGGCTGAGTGGCCTCAGGCTGCAGCAGCAAGGCTTGTCCACATTTCTAAAGTGACCCAAGGCATGGTGCCTGGAGGGACCGGCTACTGTGGAAGAGGCTGGAAAAAGGGATTGAAGGCCTAAAATAACATCATTCCCTGTGACCTTATACTTGAATCCAGTTAAATATTGAGCTGCTAAGCTTATCCAAACTTTTCCAGATCACAGACGGGAGGGAGCTCCCGGGTTCATTTCTTTGGATTTAGCATGACCTCATTAACCTAAGTTTTGATTACTGGTCCCAAAGGAAGACCAGAGAGGTCAGCTCCTAGTGCATACTGATGCTAGGGTTCCAGAGGAAGTAGTAGACCTCTGAGCCTCATGCACAGAAAGGAATTTCCACAGCCAAGGAGTTCAGTATTCACTATTAAATAATGAAAGGATTATAACACAAACATCAGGAAGCCTGTTACCTAGTGTGTACCAACAGCTGAATGGTGTTAAAGGTCCCTGTGAGCAAGATAGACCAATATTGTTGACTACTCACTGGTAACCAGTAATTTTCATCATATGTGGTGACACGCTAAACTTTCTGTGGAAATCAGAAGTGAGACAGGCATGCCTGTTTCCTGTGGTACTCAGCATTGTTGAGAGTTTCTAGCTAATGTAAGAAAATGAAAGCAATAGTCGTATGAAAACTGAATAGAGATACCCATCTTTGTAGATTATGGGCCGGGTGCAGTGGCTCACGCCTATAATCCCAGCACTTTTTAAAGGACAAGGTGGGTAGCTCATGCGGTCGGGAGTTCGAAACCAGCCTGGCCAGCATGGTGAAACCCTGTCTCTACCAAAAATACAAAATCAGCCGGGCATGTAGTCCTAGCTACTCGGGAGGCTGGGGGAGGAGAATCACTTGAACCTGGGAGGTGGAGTGCTTTTGTGAGCTGAGATCCTGCCACTGCATTCCAGCCTGGACCACAAAACAAGATTCCATCTTAAAAAAAAATTTTTGAGGCTGGGCACGGTGGCTCACGCCTATAATCCCAGCACTTTGGGAGGCCGAGGCAGGTGGATCACGAGGTCAAGAGATCGAGACCATCCTGGTCAACATGGGGAAACCCCGCCTCTACTAAAAATACAAAAAATTAGCTGGGCATGGTGGCGCATGCCTGTAATCCCAGCTACTCAGGAGACCGAGGCAGGAGAATTGCTTGAACCCAGGAGGCGGAGGTTGCGGTGAGCCGAGATTGCGCCATTGCACTCCAGCCTGGGTACAAAGCGAAACTCCGTCTCAAAAAAAAAAAAAAAAAAAAAGAGGTCGAGACCATCCTGGTCAACAAGGTGAAACCCCATCTCTACTAAAAATACAAAACTTAGCTGGGCATGGGGTGCAAGCCTGTAGTCCCAGCTACTTGGGAGGCTGAGGCAGGAGAATTGCTTGAACCCAGGAGGCGGAGGTTGCGGTGAGCCGAGATCGTGCCATTGCACTCCAGTCTGGGTAATGAGAGCGAAACTCTGTCTCAAAAAAAAAAAAAATTTAGAAGCCACCGACATGGTGCTTTCAGTACATTTAACCCTCTGACATGGGCACTGTCAGCCTTGCTTTTGAGGCACACGTCCCTCAGTTGGTGAGTGTGGGACCCAGACCTCGTGTCACCTCTGGAGTCCGGGCCTGGAACCCCAGCCCGCTGCTGCTACATGGTGTGATCTCGCATCTATTGCCATCAGGGCTTGAAAGTGGACTGTTTTTCTTTATACTGGGAATTGCCCATTAGAAGATGGGAAAAATGTTCCCAGTTTAACAGTGACAAAAATGCTAAGATATTTAGGAATGCAGCTACTGAGAAAGAGCAGGACTTGTGGAGGACACGAGAAGCGGAACTGAGAGGACACTTGTGGTGTGAGGTTAGGAGACCAGGCCCTCGTGGGCCCGGGGAGCTCCTGGAGAGGTCCCGTGAGTGCTTGTGGAGCTGGAGGCAGTGAATTTAAGATCCACTGCACGCAGGATGGCACTGTTGCTGAGAGAACGGAGGAAGATGCAGAGTTGGGAGGAGAGTTGCCGCTCTGGTTTTAACACCCTGATGTGGCTGAGGTCCGGTGTGGTCCGGTCCGGATAACTGAAGTGTGGGTGGAACAGGATGGGGTGTGCAGAGTGGAGTGCACCGCGGCCCTCGCAGGGGCCGGCTTATCCATGGGTAAGAGATGGAGGGACCATGCATGGCGGCCATGGAGTCTTGGGCTTGAGGAACAGTTTGCCCACGTCGTCCCCGCCTGTGCCCTGCTGGCGGTGGAAGTTGTGGTGCTAACAGTGGGCTGTGCTTCCAGAATGTGTCCTGTATGGGCAGAAATCACAGAAAACCCTGGAATTGGAATAGTGTAAATGCTTGGCCCACCCCTTCTGGGAATAGTCCAGAAAACTCTCAATACTCTTACATTTTTATTTAACAAAAAGCTCCTCTCCCTGCTCGTGGTGTGTGGCAGGAGAAGCCCTGGCTGTGGTGCCCTTCTCCTTGGCCAGGGAGGTGGAGAGAGCGACAGCCTTCCCCTCTGTGTTGGGGTGAACCACGGCTTGTGGGGAGAGAGATCCACCGGTCCCCACACACGGTCTGTGCTGTGTGGCATGTGTGGCCTGTTTCTGTTTGTGTGTGTATAGTGTTTAGTCTTTGTCCCTAGAATAGAAGAGAATGACTGTTAAATGGGTGAAGCATAACTTTAAAAAAAACACATCAGGAAAGGCGTGCTTGGCCGAAAACAGATCTGATTCCCAGCAGCCCTCGAGTCATCCTAACTTGCCCTGCTTACACTTTTTTTGTTCTCTTTGCTTTGAAGTCGCATCTGGGACAACGCCTCTGGCCAGTGCCTGAAGACACTCATCGGTGAGTGTGGCTCTTGCCCCGATGTGTTCCCTGCCCCTGTTCTTCACTAGCTCATCCTCCCCATCCTGCCCTGGGCCTGCCCCTGCGGGAGGAACCTTACTCCTTGTCCGACCCTTCCCGCCAGTTCCTTCTGACCGCTTGCTGGCTCTGTTGCTCCTTCGAGTGAAATGTTCCTGCCGTGGCCTTTCTTCTCTCTGGCCAGTCTGGGGCTCCTCAGCCTGTGCTGTCGGGCCTCACTCTGGCCGCTCACTGGCGTCCTTTGGGCACCCCCATCGCCTCCTGGCTTCAGGCCCCTGCTATCGTGCCAGCCTCTCAGATTGTTCCTTGAGTAGGCGGGGCTGAGCACCTGCCCTGATACACACCCATCTGCTGCCGGTGCTGCCGAGATGGATGGAGGTGCCCTGGGAGCACGGAGGACTCCACACCTAGGGGAGGAGTGGAAGGAGGGATATGGCATTGCTTGGTGGGAAGCCGGCTGCCGGGCAGAGTGTAGCCAGAGGGTCTGTGATGGCCCAGAGTTTCTGCTAGCCCCTTGCAGGGCCTGCAGGAGGGGGTGGAAGGGGTTTTCATCTGGGGGGTGTTCATGTTTGAAAGGCCTATGTTAGAAGTGTGGGATGGGCTGCCCCTTGAGGGGGAAGCTGGGTGGCAAGGATGGGGGGATGGACCCATGTGTGGGAGGCCCCCCCTTTTGTGTTCTTCTTCACCTGCTCCCCTGGTCCCCTGTCTGTTGTAGCCTGCTGGGCCGGCTAAGACCAAGCACCATAGACTGGGAGGTTTTCAGCAGCAGAAATGTGTTTCCCCAGAGTTTCCGGAGGCCGCATTCAGGCTTTAGAGGCCTCTCTTGGCTTAGAGATGCTGCCTTACCCTGGCTTCACACTGGTGTCCCTGGTGCTTCCGTGTGTCCAAATGTCCTGTTGTAAGGACACCACCCTATGGGCCTCATTTTCACTTTGGCATCTCTGAGGCTCGAAGCCTGGACTTCAGCATGAGTTCCCTCGCCAGGGCAGTCTTTGTAGCTTCCTGCCTTGTGCGGCCAGCCTTTTGCCATGCATCCCTCCTGAGCAAGATCACACTGCCCCGGGTGTCCCCTGCCCGGGCCACCTGTGCTCAGCTGTGTGCCTCGCTGTCATGTGAGTACACATGACCGTCACTGCCACCCTGTGGGGAGGGGTGTCCTCCTCCTGCAGAGAGGCTCATTCACCAGCCCAGAGCTCCACAGGAAGCAGATGCAGGGACCAGGATTCGTGCCCAGGCACAGGTGGTTTTGTGTGCCCCTGAGCCAGGGGCGGGGGATAGGGAGGGGTCGCTGTATAGCAGTTTGTCCATTGGCATCTCCTCAGGTCTAGCGAGTTAGACCGTTGAAGGACTGAGGCAGGTGGGCTCATGCGTTCTCCGTGATGCTCTGTCCAGGCAGCCTGGGTTAGGTATGTTGGGCCACTTGCCATCAGCTGCGTTAAGGGAGCCCAGCCCCCGCGGCCTTCGCCGTGACCTTGGCTTGCCTGGCTGTGTGTTGTGGTCTGGCCCTGCATGGCCTCACAATGCCTCCCGTGCCTTTTCAGTGTACGTGACCGGGCTGAGGGAGCAGAGACGGCGGGTGCCTGGCGAGGCCGGGCGTCCCCGTTGTGGTAATGCTGAGGGCCGCGTCCTCCCTGGTGCTCGGGACACACCAGTGCCTGCACATGCTCGGGGACTCTGACGGGGCCCAGGGATGGGACCTGCACTGGGGCTCACTTTCCTTGGGATTCCCATCCCTCACCCAGGTGATGGGAAACACCTTCCTCCCGTTGTGAGGGTTATGGGTTGTCACCCTCCTGGAAACTCTGACTTTTTTAGCTCTGTGAGAAAGAGCAGCTCTGCTCTGCCTCCAGGGCTGTGGGTCCAGCTGATAGGCCTGGGCATTAGCTGTGGGTATGCAGCAAAAGGTTGGTCTTGCGGGCACAAATGCCCTTGTTTCGATGACTTCTTAAAGGAGAATTTCCGAGGTGACTTTCCCAGCTCTCTTTGCTGCTGGTGGAGTCCCCTGTGTTGAGCTGTGGATTCTCCAATCATGTCCCTCCCCTGAGGCAGGGATTGCCTGAGAGTGCCTATGGCCCAGTGCCCGAGGAGGCCTGTGTTTCTAAAGTCCTGGTGTCGAGGGCCCCCAGGGCATGGGCTTGAGGGTGTCGGAACCTGCTCACGTGCTGGTGTGCGGTGGCTAGGCCACCCTTCAGGGCACCGAGGGGTGGTGCTGCTGGCACAGGTGGTGGCAGCCTCACTAAGATGTCATATTTGGGTGACGGGGGAGTGTACCTGGGAGGGTACCCTGCCCAGTTGTCGGTACCCACCGTTTGTTACCTGGTCTGTTTTTATTGCAGATGATGACAACCCCCCAGTGTCTTTTGTGAAGTTCTCCCCCGAACGGCAAATACATCCTGGCGGCCACGCTGGACAAGTGAGTGCTGCATGGGGCTGCGGGGCGGGCGGGGCCTCCCCAACCAGAGATGCCAGCGTGAGCCTTTGGAGAGCACCTCGTGGGCTTGGTACGGGGTCCAGGCTCCTGCTGGAGCTTCAGCTTCAGGGGAGTGGGCTGTTAGGCTGGAGGGCAGGCCCCTGCCCGTTCTTTCCGAGGCTGAACCTCAGGTCCGACTAAAGGAGGAATTAGGGTCAGTTTCTGGTTGAGTGACTGTGTGGCTGTGGCTGTGGCCATGGCCATGGCCTGGGCAGGTGGGGGGCCTCCAAGGCCGTTTCTGGTTCTGACCTCTGAGCGCCTTGATCTTATCTCTCGCAAGCTGAGCCCTCCTGGGCTGTCCCTTCCCATGTGTGCACCCTCAGCCCTGTGGCTCCCAGCCTCGGCCCCAGTCCTCTGAGGGCTGTGTTGTTGGGTGGTAAAACCTGTTCTGGATGTTTCCAGAACCAAGAGAACTTCTTACCCCTTTGAAGATGACCGAGTCAGGGATGATAGCACCCATCAGCTTCCTGTTAAAGTCTCTCTTAGAACTATACATACTTGAGAATCTCAGGTCATCAAGTCACTGGACTTTGGCCTTAGGGCCTCCTTACCCTGAAGGAGAAGAGGGTTCCACCCCTGCTGGCTTTGCACCTGGCACTGATGGTGGCTGTGACGTAGAGGCCTGCAGAGTTGGGCGTGGGACAGAAGGGCCGCGTCTGGACATACCCCTCACCCCTCTTTCTGTCTTGCAGCACTCTGAAGCTCTGGGACTACAGCAAGGGGAAGTGAGCTCCCACCAGCTTGGGCCCAAGTTGGGCACTGTCCCTGGGTCATAGCCCCTGGCGAGGACAGAGCTGGCCCTGGTGATGACGAAGGAGGGGGAGCTCAGAGAGCCATCGCCACTGGGTTTGGTGCTGATTCCTGAAAGAC